GTCTCGATCCCTCTATCGGGAATAAGTGATCGTCTTTTGTTTTGGACGATCGGTTTGACTTGTCTCGATCCCTCTATCGGGAGTAAGTGATCGTCTTTTGTTTTGGACGATCGGTTTGATTTCTCGATCCCTTATCGCGTCTTTTGTTTTAGACGCATTGGGTTTGACCTTGTTCGATCTCCTCTATCGGGAATAAGTGATCGTCTTTTTGTTTTGGACGATTGTTTGACTTGTCTCGATCCCTCTATCGGGAAAAGTGATCGTCTTTTGTTTTAGGACGATCTGGTTTGACTTGTCTCGATCCTCTATCGGGAATAAGTGATCGTCTTTTGGTTTTGACCGATTCGGTTTGACTCGTCCTCGATCCCTCTATCGGAATAGTATCGTCTTTTGTTTAGTTTTATCTTTGACGAACTTGTCTCGATCCCTCTATCGGAATAAGTGATCGTCTTTTTGTTTTAGACGATCGGTTTGACTTGTCCTCGATCCCTCTATCGGGAATAAGTGATCGTCTTTTGTTTTAGACGATACTTGTCTCGATCCCTCTATCGGGAATAAGTGATCGTCTTGTTTTAGACGATCGGTTTGACTTGTCTCGATCCCTCTATCGGGAATAAGTGATCGTCTTTTTTTAGACGCATCGGTTTGACTTGTCTCGACCCTCTATCGGAAAAGTGATCGTCTTTTTGTTTAGACGATCGGTTTGATTGTCTCGATCCCTCTATCGGGAATCTAACGATCGATTCGATCCTCTATCGGGAATAAGTGATCGTCTTTTGTTTGGACGATTGGTTTGACTTGTCTCATCCCCTATCGGGAAAAGTGATCGTCTTTTGTTTTTAGACGATTTGGTTTGACTTGTCTCGATCCCTATTCGGGAATAAGTGATCGTCTTTTGTTTTGGACGATCGGTTTGACTTGTCTCGATCCCTCTATCGGAATAAGTGATCGTCTTTTGTTTTGGACGATCGTTTGACTTGTCTCGATCCTCTATCGGGAATAAGTGATCGTCTTTTGTTTTAGACGATTGGTTTGACTTGTCTCGATCCCTCTATCGGGAATAAGTGATCGTCTTTGTTTTGGAACGATCGGTTTGACTTGTCTCATCCCTCTATCGGGAATAAGTGATCGTCTTTTGTTTTGGACGATCGGTTTGACTTGTCTCGATCCCTCTATCGGGAATAAGTGATCGTCTTTTGTTTTGGACGATCGGTTGGACTTGTCTCGATCCCTCTATCGGGAATAAGTGATCGTCTTTTGTTGGACGATCCGTTTGACTGTCTCGATCCCTCTATCGGGAATGAGTGATCGTCTTTTGTTTTGGACGATCGGTTTGACTGTCTCATCCCTCTATCGGGAATAAGTGATCGTCTTTTGTTTTAGACGATCGGTTTGACTTGTCTCGATCCCTCTATCGGGAATGAGTGATCGTCTTTGTTTTTCTGGTTTGACTTGTCTCGATCCCTCTATCGGGAATAAAGTGATCGTCTTTGTTTTGGACGATCGTTCGACTTTGTCTCGATCCCTCTATCGGAATAAGTGATCGTCTTTTGTTTGGACGATCGGTTCGATTGTCTCGATCCCCTCTATAATGAGTTTCATATCACCCCGAATGACTTCGAAGCTTCGAATAATTAAACGAATTTTGAGAACTTGAGACAAAAGAAATATCAAATAAACACCAGGCGACAAACAACACTTCGAGAACACCGAAAACAAAAGAGACTTTAATTAACATATCTAAGAGAAAGCGAGAGAGAGAGAGAGAGAGAGAGAGAAGAAAAAAAAACAGCGAATAAGCAAAGAAAACGTGAAAACCAAGAAGACAAAGACAAAGAGAACATACCAAAAGGTCTTAATGACTGTCCACAAGATGAATTTTACAACCCGGAAGTAGAAAAAGTGGAAAATATTGCAGGTATGAGAAGTCCCTGAAGGTCGAACACAGGTGCGGTGGCCAAGGGAGATTAGACGCGAAGAAAAATGCAATATCATGAAGGAAAGAGAAGAGGAGGAGGTAAATGACGAAGCGGGAGGACTAGAAGAATAAATATAGTCGTGAACTAGGTGCCGGTAATTAAGTTAAAAGCACGGGAGGGGAGCGGGGGAATGAGAGCTTCTGAAATTTCTCGCTGTCTCCGTCAGTCTGGATGTTAGCCTGCCTCTTTTTTCAATCTTGTCTGTTTTTCTGTCTTTGCCTCTCTCTCTCCTCCTTCCCCTTCTCTCTCCCCTCTCCCTTTCTCTCCTTCTCCCTCTCTACTTCTTCTCCTCTCTCTCTCTCTAAACTCCTCTCCTTCTCCTCTCCTCTCTCCCTCTCCCTCTACATCTTTCTCTTCCTCTACATCTTTCTCTCTTCTTCTCTCTTTCTCTCCCTCTACCTCTTCTTTCTCTCCCTCTCATCTTTCTCTCTCCCTCTCCTCTCTTTCCTTCCTTTTCCCTCTCCATCTCTCTCCCTTCCTTTTCCCTCCCTCACCTTTCTCCTTGTCCTCTTCCTCTCCACCTCTTCTCCTCTCCTCCTCTCTTATCTCCCTCTCCCATTCTTTACGACAAAGAAACGAAAACAACGAGAGATCACCTGACGAAAACTGACACACCAGCCGATCTCTACGCCTAACGAACAGCGGCTTAACGAGCAAACAACGAGAGCTTGATTACCTGTCAGGTGCTTGTCGACACGTTAGCGGACCGGGCGGAAACAACCCTAGTGTAGGCCCGACGGTTTTGCCTTGTTTAGCTATGGGTCTCGTTTGGGCCTTTATATAAATGGTATTGTTATCGTTATTATTACTATTACTACTACTACTTATTATTATTATTATTTATCATTATTATTATCATCACTGCTCTCTTGCACTGTGAAGATATTCATCCTCATCCATAATACAATTGTCAACATGCCTGTGTCTGTGTCTATGTCTCATCTCTGTCTCTCTCTCTGTCTCTGTCTCTCTGTCTCTGTCTCTGTCTCTGTGTCTCTGTCTGCCTCTGCGTCTGCGTTTGCCTCTGTCTCTGTCTCTGTCTCTGTCTCTCTCTCTGTCTGTCTGTCTGTCTGTCTGTCTGTCTGTCTGTCTGTCTGTCTGTCTCTCTCTCTTCTCTCTCTCTCTCTCTCTCTCTCTCTCTCTCTCTCTCTCTCTCTCTCTCTCTCTCTCTCTCTCTCTCAAGCTATTTTAACTCCTATTGTTTCTTTTTATTCTATTCTTATCATTACTTTGTCTCACTCATGGCTTAGGATCTAATTCATTATTTTCCTATCATCATCTTTATTTCAGGTCCACTATTCGTCTCTGCATTCATCCCGATGTTCCACTAATCTGCACAAATATCGTTAAAATCTGAATGTTTTTGGAATGCTCGCTCTATTTTCACCCGAGAACGAATTTGCATTTGTTTCTATTTTTCATCCTAAAATATCTAAATGTATTTTCGTCCGGATATATAATTTCAGTTTATTTTTGTCTTGGCCGCGGTACAAACATTCCTTTGCTATGAAGTAGATTATGAACTGCATTGCTCATAAATCTAACTTTTTAAAGGTTGGTCTTGTTTGTAAACAAGTGACTTTGAAGTCCCCCCCCCCATCTCTCTCACACTTTCGCTCTCTTCTCTCTTCTCTCTCTCTCTCTCTCTCTCTCTCTCTCTCTCTCTCTCTCTCTCTCTCTCTCTCTCTCTCCTCTCTCTCTCTTCTCTTCTCTCTCTTTTACTCTTTCTTTCCCTTTCCTTTTCTTCTTCTCATTCTCCCTCTCCCTTTCCTTTCCCTCTCTCCCTCTATTCCCCTCTCTCCTTTCTCCTCTCCCTCTCTCTTCTTCCTCTCTTCCCCTTTTCCTACTCCCCCTCTCCCTTACCCTCTCTTCCTCTCCCTCTCCCTACTCCCTTACCCCCTCTTTCCTCCTCCCTACTCCCCCCTCCTCCCACCCATTTCTGCTACCTAACCCTCCTTCCCAGTGTTCCCTCTGCCCCCGCCAGGTCACTGCTTAAACCCCTCACCTTACCCCTTGCCTACATCAGACCTTCGCCCTCAGATTAACAGCCCTTTTTCTGCTCGCCCTCTTTAAAAGTAGGCCCCTGTCCCAAAACCCTGGTCATATTTCGAGTTATGGCGGCCCGGCCAGTCATAAAATTTAATGGTTGCCAAACACGCTGCCCTGGAGAGGAAAGCTGTTTCGTATTGTTGACTGATATATTTCTTCTAAATTTCTCTCGACATTTTTTAATTAGGAAGAGGGTGAGTAAGTATGTTTGTTGACATTATGCAGTACCAACGGGATTGTCATGATCACTATCCCACAACAGAAAATGGTTTAATTACGAAGAGGATATGTATGTGTTTGTTGACATGCATTACCGATTGCCATGATCACTATCACGACAACAGAAAACGGGAATATAACAAAGAAAACGTGACTTGCTGTTAACGATCCAGTGACAAGATGTTTATTTACATTGGTGCGTATCCGGGCGTACCTGTGTGGATAGGGCGCGCGTGGGTGCTTGGGCGTGTGCGTGTCGTGTGTGTGTGTGTGTGTGTGTGTGTGTGTGTGTGTGTGTGTGTGTGTGTGTGTGTGTGTGTGTGTGTGTGTGTGTGTGTGTGTGTGTGTGTGTGTGTGTGTGTGTGTGTGTGTGTGTGTGTGTGTGTGCGTGCCGTTGTGTGTGTGTGTGTCAGAAACCGCATTGACCTACCCGACCCAAGAAGTAACACCAAATCTACTTATGTTTCTCTGACGCCTATTGACGACCGAGCGCCATGAAATACAAAACTTGCGAATAAAAACGCAACGGTTATAGAAAAAAAAATATACAGACTCCCACAACCCAGAGAAAAACAGAAACGTTACAAAAACCCTCATTCAAACCTCTACAACCCCCCCCCTACCAAACCCCCACAAACCCCCAAACCCCCACTTAAACCCCCAACCCCACTTAAACCCCCACCTCACTTAAACCCCCACTTAAACCCCCGCCCAAAGGAGAAGAAAAACAAAACAAAAATCCCGTCTACTCAC